GGCCCTCAGGGGCCCCCCCACTACGCCGACCAGCCGTCCACCTCGCAGATCGCCTACACCTCCCTCAGCCTGCCACACTACGGCTCCGCCTTCCCCTCCATTTCCCGCCCCCAGTTTGACTACTCTGACCATCAGCCCTCAGGACCCTATTATGGCCACTCGGGCCAGGCCTCTGGCCTCTATTCGGCCTTCTCCTACATGGGGCCCTCTCAGCGGCCCCTCTACACGGCCATCTCTGACCCCAGCCCCTCAGGGCCCCAGTCCCACAGCCCCACACACTGGGAGCAGCCAGTATATACGACGCTGTCCCGGCCTTGAACAGGGCCCTGTCACCACCAGCCCCTGCCCAGTCCCTGCTGGGCCCCGAGCCCCTTCCTTCCGCTGTGCGCCCTGTTCCTCACCAGTCTCGGGCCTGGTGGTGGCGGCGGAGGATGCTCCAGGGGCTGACAGTGGAGGGAAGGCTGTCTGCCTGCTCCCTGCCCTGATGACCTGCCGCCCCATCCAGGCCCCAGAGGCATGGCCCTGGCTGACAGCCTGGGCAGAGGAGGAGGAGGCTGGCCGATGCCCCTAGACTGAAGGATGAGGCTGCACCTCCCCCAGAAACCCTCTATCCCAGGACCTGAGGAGGGCCTCCACCCCCTGGGAAGGGAGGAAGCATGCAGGGTGGGACAGCACGGGAGGCTGGGCCACTCCTGTTTCCTTCTCATGGACAGCGAGGGCCTACAGGCCCCTGTGCCACTGTGCCTAAGCTAGGCCACCAGGGACTGCATCAGGGCTTAGAGACCCTGGCTGTGTCACTCAGGGGCCGAGGACAGCTTTGAACCGCTTTGTGGGGTGGGGTGGAGCTCAGTGGAAATTCTTATCCCTTCAACGCCCCTTCCCTCCTGAAAACAGGAAGGAACCGGCACAGAGGCCCCCCAGATCCAATTCTGTGCCAATAACCTCGTCTTTGTCTAACTGGGGACAGCCCCTGGTTTCCCTGCCATGAGCTCCCAGGCCTTGACGCCCACCCCAGGTGAGGAGGCAGGGCTCCAGGGAAGGGTTCAGAGACAGTCCCCCAGTCCTCCTCCCTGGCTCCTGGTCAACTCCCTGGGTCCTCTCAGCTGTCCATGGCTTCCCTGGTTTCTGGGGTTAGAGCTGCATAGGCTCAAACCCTGGCTCCAGAAGGAGCCGTGGGGCCAGCACCAGGTGGCTGGCAGCAGGTCTAAGACCCTAAAATCCTGCCCTATACATTTTGCCCTTGCCTTTTGCCCTTGGCCTCCAGTGGTATCTGAATAAAGTACGTAGCTATGCCTGCCCCGTTTGTTCCGCAGCCCCCAGTCCACATGTAACACGTTTGCTACCCCCTTATTTATCTCGTAGTCCCCTGTCTGCTCCCCTCTCCTAGCTACTCCAGCCCCTATTAACTCTGCATTAAGCATTCCAAGTAATAAAATTAAAGGTTCCGGTTACCTGCTTAGTGGGTCTGACCTGGCCTGTTTCTTGGTCTCTTGTCCCTTTACCTGGGCTTCCTCAAAGACTCTGAAAGTAGCTAGGAGGAGGGTGTGAGGGGGAGATAACCCAAGAGTCTGGCTGTCCCCTGGGTAGGTGGAGTGGGTGAGGACAGCTGGCCCCCAATGGATGGGACTGGGCGCAGGGGCTAAGACTTCCAAGAGAAGCCTTTCCCCAGGCCAGCTCGACCCCACCCTGCAGGGGCCACTCACTGACCAGGCCCAGCTAGAGCTCACGAGGGCAGCAGCAGCCTCACTGCCCATTCAGCAGGGAAGAGTTTGCAAAAAATTCCAGGGACGGCTGTTTGGAAAGAGGTGGGTTGAGTCTGACTGCAGTCAGGCCTGTCCCTTAGGATGCCTGGATGGCCTTCTGTTGCCACACCCCTACACCTGTCACCTCTGGCAGAGATCATGCAAGCACCAGGGACCATGCCAGGTCCAGCTGAGCCTTCAGAGCAGCAGCCTGTGCCCAAGTCTAAACCAAGGGCATCAGATGTGCAGTCTCCTCCTGTGCTCACTCCCTCGGAGCCCTGTCCTCTGCAGGCCAGGAACCACTCTGGTCCGAGACCCCAGGGAAGGGGACTCTCTTCACCTTCCTGCTCTACTGATGGCAGCTCTGAGGCTTGTAAGTTCTCTATCACCTACTGCGCTGAGTGCTTACGTCATTTGGACCTAGATGACAGTGAGTCCTGTCCTCATCCCTGATTTCTAGATGAGACTGAAGCTTTGGGAGGTTGAAGCTCAGGAGAGCTGGCGCCAGAATCTGAACCCAGCGCTGACTCCAAAGCTTGTGCTCTTCCCCATCATCCTCTCCACCTGCCCGGGGCTAGCAGGCTCTGCTTCCACTTTAAGTGGCGCTTTAAGTCTTCTTCCACTGCTCCAGACTGATCCTCCCCTCCATCTGTGGTCTCTACACCCCTGCACCCTTCTCTTGGTCAGGACCTGGGGGAAGGTGGGCTCCAGGAACTAACCCAGTCCTCCCAGGTGGGCAGACCCCATCTGGAAGCTGCACCAAGCTCTTCAGGCCACCTTCCCCAAAATGTTGGCCTCATGAAGTTTGGTAACTGAAACCCCTGCTCTCTCCAACAGTATCTGTTGCAAAGTCACACCACCCAAATTGTATATAAAGTTGTTTTTGGCATTTCATTTTGTCGTAGATAAATGCAGGATTTTATGCTGATCTTTAACAGACTTCATCCTGTTGGATCTGACCCTTTTCCCCACCTATGTTAAGTCTTGGAATGCGGCTCTCCTTCAGAGCATTATGTATCTGCAAACTTGAATATCCTCCTTTAAGTCACTAATAAAGGTCAAAATGAAGAGACGGGGCCCTGCGTACAGCACTAAGTACTGCTGCCCATTCCTTCTGCTCTCCACACTCTCAGGGAAGGACTGTCTAGTCAGCTCTGAAATACCTCTTCACATCACTGCTCCCATGGCGCCCGGTCTTCATCCACCACAGGGCCTGGAGACTGCCCAGCGATGTGCTAAAATCGAGATTCACTGATAGGTGGCATTCCCTAGACCCGTGAGACCAGAAACCACTGGGAAAAAGAAACTGATGTGACAGGATTGACCTTAGATACTATCCTGTAGTTCAGTGGTAGAGCACTTGCCTACGTATGCAAGGCCCCGGGTCCATCCTGGTTCTGGGGAAAAAAAAGGAAAAGAAAAAAGAACCCTAGGCCAGCCCCCGGATTCCTGCAGCGTGATCTGAGGGCTCAGGCGTGTGACCATCCATTCTAGAATTCTGTCAGGTACCCTTCGGGAATAAACTTAGATGCTCATTTTAAAACTCAACCCTTCCCCTTTATTCAAAGATGGGACACTTGTCCATTTCCAGTCTTCACGGCTCCTGATCTTGGTGGGGGTTGTGGATATGGAGCTGGAGGAGCACATGGAGAGGCTGACACCATCCCCAGGACCCTGAGCCTTGGGAGACTGGCTGGGAAATGACCAGAGTTGTGGGAGGGTAATGACTCACAAAAGCCAAAAGACCTGACTGTACACAGCCCATAGACCAAAGGCTCTGGGCATGTTTGGGCCTTGGAATGGCAGGAGCTCCCTCTGTAAGGAGAGCAGGATCCAGGTGTTTCTGGCAAGGATGTGCTCAAACCCCAAGAAAGTACAGAGCCAATAGTGGCGGCAGGTGACTTCATACTCCAGAAGTCAAACCTTGGCCCGGCCAGCGGAATAACAAGGGTCTCCTCAAAGAAGAGAATGGGAAGGGGGAGGGGGAGGAAAGAGAAAACACCCTTTCCTCCCACTTCCTTTAGCCCTTTCCCCAAAGGGTTAACTCTCCTCCTCTCCCGCCCAAACCTCATCTCCCTTTAATCACATCTGATACTGAGCGGCCCAGCAGGGAACAAAGAGACCATTTAGAGAAATGGGGCCAAGAAAGTGACCCCCGCACCCGGGGCGGCCGCCTGGATGCCGGCACAAAGGCGGCATTTCAGAGCTGAAATTTCAGCACCCAACTTGATTAAAGGATTCCATGGGCTTGGAGGAGGGTGGCAGGGGTGCGAAGTCCACCCTCCCTGAGTTAACCCTTCTCCAGAGCAGAAAACATCCCGCCCACACTGGCGGTCACTCATCCTTCCAACCTGGGCGCAATAGTGGGGGCCCTGCCTCTTACAGAGGTGAGGGAGCCGGGCTCCTCCTCTTCCGGGAAGACAGCTGGCAGTAGAAGGGAGGCTGGGCTGAAAGCTTCAGGGACCCGATCTCCCCTCCTGCCTACTCCTGTCTGTGTGGGTGTGCTGTACCCTTTCTCCTTACTCCCAGAACTGGGGAGCCAGGTGACAGGGCCTCCGGGCCAGGGTGAGCACCGGGGAGAAGAGCAGCAGCCCCGCTGGTACCTAGGCCAAGGAAGGGATGCCCCAGCTCCAGCTGAAGCCATCCCTGCGAAGGCCCGAGGACCAGGAGCCCCCCAGAGGGAAGGGCATCTTACAGCAGCGGGAAGGGCAGGGCACAGGTGTGGAAGGTCAGAGATGCGCCACGAAGGGCAGTGGCCTGAGAAGTAGGACAGAGTGGGGAGGATGAACAGGTGCTCGGCCCTTGCTCCAGCTGCTGACTTGCCCTGCGGGGCTGCGCGGGAGGGTGGAGAGCCGCAACCCCAAGCTTCCTGCTGGGGCGCTCTCCTGAAAGGGGATCCGACCTCGATAAGAGCTCCAGGCAGGTCCTTAGGAAACAATGGGTGGCTTGATGAGACCTGCTCTGTGATACTCCTGAGAAGGGAGAAGCCCCTGCAGCCAGTCCCCACTGGAAAGGAAATTGGGGGTTTCCCTGGCAACCAGCTCCCTGGGCACAAAGACTCGTCTGTCTCTGGGAAGGCAGCTGAGGTATCTCCCCTGCAGCCGCCTTTGCTCTGGTGAACTGGGAGATGGAGGGAGGGATGTGGGGGAGCCACAGGGGCCAAGGGCTGACCGTCCCAGGGCCACTGGTAAGTGCTGAGTGTGCGCTCCCGGCAGCAGGGTGGGAATGGGGAAGAAGCACGAGGTGGCATCACACAGCTAGAGGAGCGGGGCGGGAGGTGGAACAGTTTATTATTTACACGTGTAAAATGGGCACAGAGACGGGGTGTGGCCAGGTCAGGAGGCTCCAGCTCAGTCGGTGATGATGAGCTCGTCCACCCCCCAGTCTTCATAGCTCCCATCGGGCAGGTAGCGGCGAATGATGATGGGGATCTTTCGGGCCCTGGGGCAGGGGAGAAGTCACAGTACATGAGAGATGGTGACTCCAGCGCTGCAGCAGAAGGAACAGTGTCGAGGTCCATGTCTCAGTGACGCCCTCCTCTCAGCTGGTCCCCTCTTCCCTGTCCCTCCTCCCTCCTGGTAGGCTGACTCTGAATGGACCCCGGATCCTGGGAACAAGCACCAACTGCCCCGCCAGGGAAGCCTGAGAGGGGCCTGCCTGGGCGACTTACTTGAGCTCCTTCATGGCGATGAGCAAGGGGTCTGTCTCCCCCTCCAGCTCCACCATCACGGGGGCACACATCCTGCAGGCACAGGACAGGTGTCGGGAGAGATGGCAGGCACAGGGGGAAGGGCCCAGCGGGCAGCAAGGGCGGGACCAGCATCCTGGCCCTCACCTAGCAAGGTCACTTTCTAGGTAGGCAGGTGCGGTGGGGAGTGGCGGACAGGGCACTGCCAGAGGCTGCCCACTGAGGGAAGAGAACGGGACTCAGCAGATGGACTCCAACGTGCACATGTAAATGGTCCACAGGCAAGTCACTTAACTTCCCTCCAGATCTCAGTATCCCCACTGCAAGACGAAGGAAATGACCCCCGCCTGGGTGAGGGCTCACTACGCACCAGCTGCTGCTGCCCGCTCCTTTCACATACTATCTCATGGGAGGTGAGCACTATTTTGATTTTCATTTTACTGACAGTGAAACTGAGGCACACAGAGGACAGTAACTTGCCCAAGTTCACACAGCCAGGAAGTGGCAGAGCCAACATTTGAGCCCCACATGCTCTCCATGTAATAAGCTCAAGACCTAAAACTTAAGGTGTTATAAATGTGACAAGTGTGAGCTTTTATTACTAGGCCACATGACAATCATCATGTCAGTCCCCCACCAAGAAACTTGCCTGCTCCTACTGCAGACCCCAGTTCTGCGGCCATGGCAGAAAATGCCACCCAGAAGTGCACTCTACCCTGACCACCCCAGCCAGTACCACGGCCCTGCCTCTGTGCCCGGCCCCGTTTTCCTGCTCTAGCATTCCCAGCTCTTCAGCTTGGCTCCTCCCAGCCTCCACAGACACTCATCCGCTCCCAGCCTGTCTGGACTCCCCATGGCCACTAGGCCAGAAGTCAGTCTATTCCCTGTTAACTTTTCAAGCCCTTCTTAGGCCACTTCCCCAAGTTTGCCCCACGTTCAAGCCATACCAACTACTACAGTTCCCTGGTGCTATGGCTTGAAAGTGTCCCCCAAATTCATATGTCAATGGTATCTAGAGGTGGAACCTTTAGAAGGTAGTTAGTGTTAGATGAAGTCATGAGGGTGGGCCCCATGATGGATGGCATTAGTGACTTTACAAGAGAAAAGAGGGCTGGGGCTCTGACTCAGCTGGTATAGTGCTTGACTTGCATGCACAAGGCCCTGGGTTCAGTCCCCAGCACCACAAAAAAATGAAATAAATAAGAGGAAGAGCCCTGAGCTAGCCAGCACACTAGCTGTCCCACCACAGGACGCCCTCCGCCAGGTGAGGATGCAGCACAAGGCCCGCCCGATGTGGAGCCACGCTCTGGGACCTCCCTGCCTCCACAGCTGCGAGCCAAATGACCAGCAGACTACAGTTAAGGCCCCTGGACATTCACACTGTTTCTGTTCTGAGTCCTCCTCAAGCCCCTTCTCTGCATGCCAACATGGGAGCCAGAACACCTCCTGGAAATGCCCACTGCACCTCCAGCACCCCACTCAGTGCACACGTGCTTCTCTCTTCTCGCTGGAGCACTGTCCACAACAGACCGTGAGCGGCTGGTGGCCCAGGACTCGTGATTCCCCACAGGGAGGACGGGACAGGCCCCAGTTACTGCCTGGCCCAGAGCACAGGCTCCAAACACAAACAGGGGAAAACTGAGTCTAGGCTACTGCCTCTTCCAGGAAGTCCATCTTAATTATTCCAGCTTGAATTGACACTAATGGATCCAGAATTACTAGGAGAGCATGCTAAAAATACAGGCTCCAGGGTCCTTCTCCAGACCCTCTGAACAGGATCTCTCATAAAGGGCTCTGAGAATCTGCATTCACAAAGATACCCAAATTACTCTGATAATCAGCCCGCCAATTACTAATTTTATCATTAAACATTCTGATTTCTGTTACTTTCAAAAGCTTAAATATTTCTCAAGGACAGAAACCAAGCTTAACTTTCCCTATATCCTCTCTCAATAAGTATTTAGCCAGGGGCAGGAAGCGAGCCTAAAACCCCAGCTACTGGAGAGGCCAAAGCAGGAGGATCGCAAGTTCCAGGACACCCTGGGAAACTTACCAAGACACTCTTCAAAATAAAAAATAAAAAGGGCTGGGTATGTGGCTCAGTAGGAGCATGTCCTTAGCATGAGTGAGGCTCTGGGTTCAATCCCTAATACCAAGAAAAAAAATTCAACAAATGTCTCCAAAATATAAAGCTTTAAAGAATGTAGCAAAATGCTTGTCCTGACCTTCCCGTACCTTCTCCCTTTCAAGATATGAATAACTCAAGGCCATTCATCATCCAGTGCCCACCATAAGCCCACAATTTGCAAACTAGGGTGGACCCATAAGTAATCTATATCTCACTGCAGCCTCCGCATACACACATGTCCCCTGTTTAGGAAGAGAGTATGAGCAACTTCACCAGCCACTAGGTGGTGCTAATGAACCAAATGGAAACTTCAGCACCTGAGTGCAAGGTCACAAGCCTGTCTGTCCAAGGGCACCAGATGGTGTCTTATCCCTTAACTGCAAGGAGCAACACAGAGTGCTCCATGCTGGACCATGCCTTGCTCCCCAAGAAAACCAAGACACTCGGACTTGGGAGTGATCTAGACGTTGGCTTCAACACTTTGAAGTGCTCCACACTGCCCACCAGATGAATGCCAGTGTCACTTGGGCTCTAGGGCATCTTTTACAGTGTTGTGCCCAGGCCACCCGCCGCCAGAACCCATAGCCACCTGTCTCTAACTGGACCTTTACTTGTGCCACTTCCTGCACCTGGGGTATCCACAAACCCACCTCCCTTTATCCATCCCTGCAGAAATGGGCATGCACCCTAAACCCTTCAAGGGCCCCCCCCCCTCTCCTTTTCTGTACCCCTTCTAAAGTACTACCCATTTCTGCCCTGGGTTCTGCCTACGTCCTCGCACAGGTCCAGCTCTCCTGCAGAAACACCCAGCAGGCTGGAAGTCACATCCTTAACATCTTCACCTCCCTGACAGGCACTGGCAGTTTCTCAGTGTCGAAGAGCTGACTGACCGCACATCTTTATAGTCTATTTGTTTGAAAAAAATTAGGAAATATTCTTCCTGCTAGTTCATTTTAGCCTGGAGGAGTATGCCCTGCAGAGCAGCTTCCACAAGGGAAATGGATCCGTGCTTCCCTTGGGGGGGCCACCAGCCACCCAGGGCTGCTAACTACCTGGTAATGTGGCCAGTGAGACAGAAACCAAACTTCTTATTTTATTTTACTAAACTTAAATGGCCACATGGAACTAGAGGCTACCATAATTGGTAGTGCAGGCCTGGAGGATCTGATCCCAATGGAACCAAAAGATATTGCACTGAATGCACGTTTCTCATCTCACTTAGAAAATCAAGCAGTGCGACCAGCCTGGTAGGGGGGCTTTTGCTGAGAAACAGGTAAGAATATTGCCTTCCCCTAAAAACCTTTATCAATGTAGACAGGGAGGTCACAGGTGGTCACCGGACTGGAGGAAAGAAAAGTCCAGTGCTAGGGGCTGGGGTTGTGGCTCAGTGGTAGAGTGCTCATCTAGCATGCGTGAGGCACTGGGTTCAATCCTCAGCACCACATAAAAATAAAATAAAGATATTGCTTAAAAAAAAATGTCTAGTGCTAGACAGCATCGCCACTCCTCAGCACACAGGCCCTGCTTTGCCTCCTGGCCTGATTCCTTCCTTGAGCCCCCCCTCCTCCAGACTCCCACAACCCCCTGCACTAGCCTGTCAGAAGCTTGGCGTAGGGATTCCTTTCCTTTTCTCACATATCCCAGTGCATGACATTAGAGTACCACTAACACTACTGACCTCACACTGTCCCCTCCCTTACTCGTGCCCAGGTAAGCCTGGGGAAAAAGGCCTGTGCCCAGCCTCTTCAAGAGGCCTGCTTGCTCAAAGACACCTGCCAGCAGAAGATGCCACTGGTCTGTTCTCCATGTGGCTGAGACATCAGAGGCACAGGGAGGCCTGCACCGCTGTGCTCATTAGGTCACAGCCTGCTCTCCACCCAGCTACTGACTCTCCTTGGATCTTGTTCTTCTAAACTTGGGAAAGAAGGAAAGGCGGCTAACTGTCAAGTCCCTAAAGCCCGTCACTATTCTGGGCTATGATCTCCCTTGAATAAAGAACCAGTTAAATGCACAGGCCCTGGGTCTGAGCCCCAACACCAGGCAGGGAAAAAAAGGACCTGCTAAGTCCCAAGGGTGCTGGGGCAGCCCTCCTGACTACTGGTACACAATCAATCGTCTAGGGCTCTGAATTCACACTCTTGTTTTGCTTCACAACCTAACAGACATCCTCTAGCTGTTGTTCATTATTTTCCTCCTACAATGTTATTTGACTTCTCAGTTACTTCTCATGCTCTCCTATTGGATTACAGCTTCTGAGGGATGAGTCCAGCACAATGCCTGGCATGCAGGGGCAGCACTACTTTTGTTCAGATCTGAGAGCAGGGAGGGTTTGTTTCCGAGTGCCAGGCTGGGCAGGATCGATAGCAGGAGCACTCACTGTGGCCCACCTGATGGAGAAGACAGTGAAGGGGCCACACTTACGCAATCTGAAGAGCTCGGGTGCCCAGCACTCGGGCTCGCTCATACTTGGTCATGTATGGGGTGGTGATTCGCTTCTGGTTGGCCTGCGGTCGCTCCCCAGAAGGAAGGATCTCAACGTTCTCCTGGCCCTCCTGGACACCAAGACAAAAAAGGAAAACTTCAGGGTACCTTCCTTGAGTGGGGGGAGGGTGAATGATGACCAACACCATTAATGCTTACTGGATGCCAAGGGCCATGCTACTGCTAGTACCTCGTTAATCTCCATACCAACCTTATGAGGTAGGAATTACAGTCCCCATTCCAGAGGTCTGGAGTCAGCTAACATTGCCAAAATTTCAGACCCAGTAATAAAGAAGAGGAATTATAAGTGGTATTCCAAAGCCCAGTTCCTCAACCAAAAGGGAGTGAAACAAAAAACTTCTAGGACCAGATGGGCTGGTCCCAGATTGGTTGCCCTATAAGAAGTCCATAAGCACACCCTAAGCAGAAAGCTAGGCAAAAACACCTCTCTTTCAGATAGGGACACTGAGCCAGTGGGTCAAGTCAGGGTGGCGCAGGAAGAGTCATACATTCACACACTGAAGAGCTACTGATGATTGGGCAAGGTGGTGCATGCCCATAATCCCAGCAACTCGGGAGGCGGAGAAAACAGGATCTGAGGCCAGCCTCATCCATTTAGTGAAGCCCTAAGCAACTCAGTGAGACCCTATACCAAAATAAAAGAGAAAAATGGCTGGGGATGTAGTGAGTGGTAAAGCACCCCTGGGTTCAATCCCCAGTGCTGAGAGCCACAGCAGAGTGATGTATGGCATTTTTGCCAGAGCGGAGTAGTTGAGAGGTGACGCCAGCAAGCCATTGAGATGATGATGGTTATGTTAGGCTGTGTATTCAATTGTATATCAGACCCCTGCTGTCCGCCTCTACTTTGGAGTTCTCGCAGGGATTCCTGGAGAGTTCGCATTGGTTGGGGAAGTGCCGGAAGTGTCAGAGGAGGGATTTCCGGTTGGCGGTGTTCCTGGGAGGGTAGCGGTGTTCCTGGGAGGGCAGCGTGGGTGGTGTTCCCAGAAGTTCGAATAATAAAGGAGTTCCTGTTTTGAACCTAAAGTGCCTCATGGCAGCTGGGGTATTTTGTGCCCAGCCAGACTGCGGCACCCCAGTACCAAAAATAAAAAAATTTTAAATGAACAGATAAAAGGAAAGCTCTGTGTACTCTGTTGAGAACATGATATAGGGCCAAGAGCAGAAGCAGAGACCACTGAGGGGCCCAGTAGTGATCAATCTCACAGGCAGATAAAAACATGATGGTAACAGGAGAGCAAGCAGAGCAGCACTAGGCGAGACACGGGCAGGGTGGCCGGCCACAGTCTCCTGCCAGGAAGCAAATGAAGAGTGACATTTCAGCCAGGCTAAGGCACCAGGAGTGGAGAGACAGGCAGGACAGAGCACATCTAGGAGACACAATCAAAAGAACAGGGACAGAAAGGGGACCAAAGGGTAGAGAAAGCTTCTGACTCAAGTGAACAGAAGGGTACCTGAGAGTGTCGGGCAGAGAAAGAAAATACAAACAGAAGGGCTTCGGCTTCCAGCCTGAAAAAAATTGAGGGATCTCTCTCCAGGAGACATGCAGCTCTTCTCTCTCCCTCAATCTTACAGGAAAGAAATATTTTATCCTCAAAACTGGCAATCCATCCATCTAGCTGCTCCAGTCGGAAAACTGGGAGGCATCTGACTTTCTCAGCTTCAGATCCAACTCACTAAAATCTCTCTTCTGTCTTCTCATCACTTACTCTACCAGCACCCACATCTAATCCCTGGGCCACTCACCTGGAGGTCCCTGATTGGTCTTTCTCTCTTGTCCCTAACACACTCCTTACTCTTGGAATTTTTGTTTTGTTTTTTGTTTATTTATCTGGGTGCAGGGATTGAACCCAGGGCCTCATGTGTGTCAGGCAAGCACTCTACCACTGAGCCACATCCCCAGCCCCACTTCTCACTCTTCCTGAAGTCAGAATGTTGCATTCCTTTTTTTTTTGGTACTAGGGATTAAACTCAGAGGCATTCGACCACTGAGCCACATCCCCAGCCCTATTTTGTATTTTTAAATATTCAGAGACAGGGTCTCACTGAGTTACTTAGCACCTCGCTCTTGAATTTATGATCCTCCTGCCTCAACCTTCTGAGCTGATGGGATTACATGTGCGAGCTACACACCCTGCCCAGAATGTTGCATTCTAAAATAAAAACTGGATCGCGCCAGTCCTAGCTCAAAACTTGGCTTCCTACTGGCATTAGGCTCCAAAATCCTGCCTGATCTTGGCCCTGCTTACCTATGCAGCCTTATCCCAGGCCACTTGCCCTCATGCTCCCTATAGAGACCCAACTTGCAGAGCACCTGTCAGATAATAAATATTCAGCACATTTGTGAATAAATGACAGCGACGTTTCAACTATTAGTTTGGGGCTATAGACCAAATGGGCCCCACAGGATTGCTCTGCTACCCAGGACTGAAACACTTCAACTGGGAATGACTATGGCAGTATCCTGGACCACAAAGAAGAGTAAGAACAATTAGACAATTATCACCTGCCTTGCCATCTGGCAGCTGAGCTTCAGAGGTAGGAGCCTAAGGCTGAATACTCACCTCCTCAGCATTCTCCAAGTCATCTAGCCCTTCATCCTCCTCCACATCATCAAAGTCATCACCATCGAAACTGTTCAGGAAAAGAGATCAGTCACTTAGAGCCTTATCAGAATCAAAGAAGCAGAGCCAGGGACTGAGGTGCACATCTGTAATCCCAGTGGCTCGGGAAGCTGAGGCAGGAGAATCACAGGTTTGAAGCAAACCTCAGCAACTTAAGACTGTAAGCAACCTAGTAAGACCCTGTCTCAAAAAAAAAAGAAGGCTGGGGATGATGGGCTCAGTGGTTAAGCACCACTGTGTTCAATCCCTGGTACCATAAAAAAAAAAAAAAAAAAAAGAGTCAAAGAGTCAGAGATCTGAATATCTTAGCTGATCTCTAGGTGGCATTTGATAACTATCTACTTGATGATCAAATCGAACTTTTGTCTCATTTTACTCCTTCAATCTTACCCCATGGGTCCCCCAAATTTTGCTAAGACTCATTCATCATCACTGTTTCCTTCTCTACTGAATTACATTTAAACATAGTTATTTCCTCATCTTTTTTTTTTTGGTACCTGGAATTGAACCCAGGTGCAACCCCTGGGCCACATTCCCAGCCTTTTTTTTTTTTTTTAATATCTTATTTAGAGACAGGGTCTTGCTAAGTTGCTGAGGCTGTCTTTGATTTTGTGATCCTCCTGTTTCAGCCTCCCAAGTCACTGGGATTATAGGCATACGACACTGCACCCAGCTATATCCCCATCTTAAAAAAACAAAACAAAACAAAAAACTTATTTGAAACTGGGGAATACAGTTCAGTGGTAGTGTGTACAGCATGCATGAAGCCCTGGGGTTCCATCCCCAATACCAAAACAAAACAAACAAACAAAATCCCCAAAACCCCACAACAAACCCAACAACAAAACCCACCTTTCTTTTCTTTTTCCTCCCTTCCACAATCCTAATTCCAAGTGCTCTCTTGGTGCAAAATCTGTGACAAAGCTGTCCAGCTTCACTATCCCCAATTTCTCTCTCTCTCCCTTCTATCATAATCTTACTACAAGCTGGGCGTAGTGGTATATGCCTATGATCCTAGAGACTCGGGAGACTGAAACAGGAGGATCACAGACTTGAGGCCAGGCTCAACAATTCAGAAGAACCTTGGTAATTTAGTGAGGTTCTGTCTCAAATTAAAAAAGGAGCTGGGGGCTGGGGTTGTGGCTCAGAGGTAGAGTGCTCACTTAGCATGCGTGAGGCACTGGGTTCAAATCCTCAGCACCACATAAAATAAAGATATTGCGTCCACCTATAACTAAAAAATAAATATTTTTTTTTTAAAAAGGAGTGGGGATGTGGCTTAGCAGTAGAGCCCCTGGGTTCGATCCTCAGTATCAATTCCTCCCCCGCCCCCACCCGCAGGGTGGGGTGGCGCACGCCTATCATCCCAGGGGCTTGGGAGGCTGGGGCAGGAGGATCGTGAGTTCAAAGCCAGCCTCAGCAATGGTGAGGTGCTAAGCAACTCGATGAGACCCTGTCTCTAAATAAAATACAAAATAGGGCTGGGGATGTGGGTCGGTGGTCAAGTGCCCCTGAGTTCAATCCCCGGTACCAAAAAAATCCAGAATTTAAACCCACTTCTCACTACCTCTGCTACATCACCCGGTCCCGGCGCACACACCATCCTCTGGAGGCCTCTCGAGATTTGCTATTTCCACTGCTACGACCCCGCAGGGTCTGCCTATGGGTCTGTCCCTCCTCCAGAAAGGGAGCGCCTGGAGAGCGGGGGTCCACTTAATTCATCTCAATATATTAATTCCACCCACGACACAGTGGTGCACTGCTCGGTGCAGTCTGCTGGAACTCAGCTTTCCCGCTGCTCCACTCCGTCGCTGCCCAGCTTCGGGCCGGTGCACGCTCCAGTGCCGGCCCCTCGACACACCGCGCGATGCCAGGTTCCCCACCCGCCTTCGTCCAGGCCCCGCCTCACCCGTCCCTCCCGAGGTTCCAGCGAAGGCCGTTCCACTCCCGCACTCACTTGTCCTCGTTGTCTGACATGACGCCCTTTGCTTCAGTAACCCGGTCCCCCTGTCCCGACCCGCGCGCAGAGCCACAGGGAGCGACCCTCCGCCCAGCGTGTTACCCGCGTATCCTGCGCCTGCGCCTGCGCCGTGACCCCGAGGAAACCACTTCCGGGAAGCCGGAGGCGCGGCAGAAATGCGCACGCGCCGCTCGGCCTGCTGGTTACCATAGTAACCAGAGCCGCTGGCTACGGCACTGGTGCCTGGAATTCCGCAGCTTTTGTGCCCGGCGCCCGCGCGAGAGCGGTGGTCACTTGGAGCCCGTCAGCCGCTCTGCATGAGGAGGGGACACCAGCGGGGGCCTAACAATAGGGTGACGTTTCAGTTTTATCCTGTCACCCAATGGGGACCTCGGCTATCTTAAAGATGTGTCCTCCCGAGGGGATTCACCTTTCGCAGGCACCGGGGGTCAGGATAAGGGCTCTGTTATCTAGCTTGGGTGGAGGTTAGGGGATCGGCCCTGTCGCAGTATTAACTTGGGTGTCCCAGTTGACCCCACTCCCAGAGGGTGGGGGTGAAGGAGCAGAGATTGGGACTGGGAAACTGGGAGGGTGTGCGTGTGTCTTTCTCTTCTAGGCCCTGGCATGGCCTCACAGAACAGAATGGAGGCAGTGACCAAAGAAACAGCGTTCTGGCGCTGCCCCAAGTCAGCCGTTTATACCCCAGAGACCCGCAAGCTGCTCAAAGGTGAGTGTGTTAAGAGGACACAGGTGGGGGAGCAGTAGTAGCAGTTACCCTGTGTAACTCTGTTCTCCTCTACTCTACATGACCTGTGGCTGGGGACACAGTGGCTATTCTCTTACGAACAAGGATCCTGGGGTTCAGAAAGGTTCAGTGTGCTACTGCTGACCAGGAGCTAAAAGTCAAAAAAATAAGAATTTTGGAGTAGTTTATTTCTATGCATTCTTTACCTCCCACTCTCAGTGTTCCCCAGGAATCCTTATCTCCTCCTCATACCACCACAGTGGGACCAGTGGTTAAGTGCCCTCAAAGAACCCAATCTCCCTACACTGGGTTCAGCACAACCTATAGCTAGATATTTAGTGTCCCATCTACACCTCTAGATAGTAGATTCCATCAGGCAGGGAGTGGTCAGTTTCTGCTCACAATTGTAGCTCCAGCCCCTGACACATGATCAAACAAGTATTCATTCATTTACTCCACAACAAAAAAATGTTTAAGCCTACTCTGTACTTTGGGTACTGTTCTAGATGCTGGGGATATAGCAGTAAAAAAAAAAAAAAAAAAAGCTGTAAAAAAATTCTTGCTCTTATAGAGCTAAGAGTTTAGTAGCATAGTAAATAAAATTTAGGACTAGGGTGTAGTTCAGTGGTAGGGCATGTGCTTAGTATGCATGAGGCCCTGGTTTTGATCCCTAGCATGTGCACATAGGTGTGTGTACCACACACACAAAACGTAGCCATTGCCTGGAGATGTAGCTCAGTAGTAGAGCCCTTGTCTGGAATACACAAGCCCTGGGTTCAATCTCCAGTACTGAAACAAATTAAAAAACAAAACAAAACAACAAAAAAAAAAAACAGCCAGAGCCAAGCATGGTACCACACACCTATAATCCCAGCCCTCAAGTGGCTGAGGCAGGAGGATTGCAGGTTGAGGGCAGCCTTGGACAATTTAACAAGACCCTGTCTCAAAAATAAAAACAGGGGCTAGGGTTGTAGCTCAGAGGTAGAGTGCTCACCTAGCATGTGTGAGGCACTGGGTTCAATTCTCAGCACCACAAAAAGTAAAATAAAGACATCGTGTCCACCTATAACTAAAAAATATGAAAAAAAATAAAAGTAAAAACAGGGATGCAGCTCAGTGGTAGAAGAGCCCAGGGTTCAATCCCCAGTACCACAAGAGAAGAAAATGGAGCAAGAAAGGGAGGGGGCGGGGGCTCAGCAGTAGAGCATCTGCCTAGCACATGCCAGGCCCTGGGTTCGATCCCCAGCACCACATAAAGATAAATAAAATAATGGTGTTGTGTCCAGCTACAATTAAAAAAAAAATTAAATGAACATAAAAAGAAAGAGGGAGAGTGCAGTGCAGAATGGAGTAGGAGGAGATACAGTTGCAGTATACAGTGAAATCATCTGCTGCAGCTCAGCCTCATGCAAGTGCTTTATTTTGCAGAGATGATGAAGGAATCCAAACTAACCAGCTTCCAGCAGCGCTACCTCACGGACACTATGAGAAGTAAGAGGTGTTCAGTCCACAGAAGCTTCCTGGGTGGAGGGATTGGGGACACTCCCCCTTCCTCCTCACCCCCAGTATTGGGGACTGAAACCAGAGTCTCACAAAGTCACTGAGGCTGGCTTCAGATTTGTGATTCTCCTGCCTCAGTCTCCTGAGTTGCTGGGATTCCATGCACCACCACACCTGGCTTGGGGCCACATTTTTAAAGCTCCTCCATGTTAAGAGGGATAGAACCTCATTTTAAAAGGAAAAAAAAAAAATTTGAATACATAGTATTCCTGACCCCTAGTCCTTGGGAATTGACCTTTTGTGTGGCCTTTGCTACTTTTGACAGGCACAATAAGCCCCCTACAGGCAGGCTGTCACTGACCTTCCTAAGAAACTGTGGCCTAAGCAAGACTCCCTTCCCATCCACAACAGCCTCAGCACTGGAGTGTCTGCAGTCTGCATGTCTGAGGCAGGAGGATCAAATTCAAGGCCAGCCTGAACAATTTAGCAAGACCCTCTCAAAATAAAAAGGGCTGGGGATATAGCTGATGGGTACAGCTCTCCTGGGGAGAGGTGGGGGGACATGCCAGAAGGTCCAAGCTTGCAGAATTTTGCTTGATCTACCAAAACTGTCGCCTTCTCTAAAGATGACGAGGGCACCCAATCCCCCCCACAAGCAAAGAGGAATGTCAGGGGCAAATATGGACAGGGAAGCTCTCTGTTCACCAAGTCAGGGGTCAGATCTCCTTCCTCATTGTGGACAAGGACAACTCAGACTGCAAAAGACTAGTGCCATCACATGTTTCAGTCATATAACCTCCACATGCAGCAGTCTGATAGTGTGGTGTCTCCTGTTAGCATAACCATAGAGAATGTGCTAGAAGTCCCACTGAAAGTCAATACTGTCATACCAAAGACTGTCTCCTTTGCTCAGCACAGTAACCCAGCACCTGGGGCAGGTGCATGATTCGTACTGAACTGCTGGTTACATCAGTGGTTGGACAACACAAGCAACTGCTTTGCCTAGCAGCCTCGTTTTCCTTAGATGTTTTATTTTTAAAAATTTGCCTTCAAGTCTGGGTGTTGAGCCTGGCTTCTCTTGGAGTTCCTCCCCTACGTTTCTTCTCTTAACCAAATCCTACCAGTTGCTTTGAGCCTTAGTTCAAATACTGCTGCAAGCCACAAATCCCTCCCCTCACTGGAAGGCAAGAATTATTTGTTGAGAAGGGGCCAAAGGAAGAGGTTGAACTGGAGAGTGGGAGGTGTGAAGGACATGCTGGGAATCAGCGTTTCTTCAGGAAAAAGAAAAAGGCATGTAGAGGCTAGAGCCCTGGGTAGAGGGCCTGGGAAGGGAAGGTCTGTCCTTGCAGTTTTGGGAGTTATCCTTGACTCCCCTTTCTCCCAAACCCCACATCCGCCCTTTCTACACGACCTTCAACCCATGTCCTGACCACCCCTCCCACCTTCTCGCTGGCCGCCATGGCTGCACACTACCTGAGTGGCTCCCAGCTGCCCTTCCTCCCCCGCCCTCAGCCCTGGGCTTCAGATTTTCAACAGCAGCCCACAGAGGGCATGTCTTTTTCTCAGAACCCTCCAACTGGGCTGGGGTTGTGGCTCAGCAGTAGAGCACTTGTCTAGCACGTGTGAGGCACTGGGTTCAATCCTCAGCACCACAGAAAAATAAATAAAATAAAGGCATGCTGTCCATCTACAACTAAAAAAAAAAAAAAAAAAAAATGGGGTGAAGAGAAGGGGCCCAATGACCAGATAGGAGCGACACTTGGATGGCCTGGGGGAGGAGCCCAGGCATGGGGCAACAGGGGGGATGTATAGCAGGTGGCATTTGTGTCTATTGCCATCCAAACTGTTCCCACTAGTCCGTGGACCAAGCAAAGAGAAAACAGAAATAAAAACACCAGGACAAAGACGCAGTGTACAGAGTGTTTATTGCAGCATTGTTTGTAGTAGTAAAAAACCAACCAACAGAAAACCTGGAAACAAGTTGAACTTCCAAAACTAGGAGATAACTGAATAAATAAGGTAACCATTCTAATGACTAGTATATAGCTATAAAAAATAAGTTATATATAAACAGATTTTTCTGGAAAGATGTCCACAATAAATGGTTATGTGAAAAGGGACTGTTATTGACTATTATACAATATGATCCAGTGTTTGAAAAAAGAATCTTATGTGCACATAAAAAATATATGCACACATCTTTGAGCATGTTTATATAAGCATCAAAAAGCAAAGAGACCACCAAATTGTTCCCACTGCTCATTGTAGAGGGGTGGGCTTAGTGGGGATAAGAAGATTCTGCTGCACCATTTGACTAGTAAGATGAAGGAAAAAAAAAAATAAAAAGCCATGAGACCCTTCCACCCCCAGGAGGAGACCCTTTGCCCCTACAGTGCAATCCGACATCCAGCCAGCAAGGCTCACCTTCCAAACAGCTGCCACCAGCCACCCACCTGCCTCCCACCCTGGTAGCCCGGTCTCGCCTCCGGCCTGCCAGCATGTGCCGAGCCAACGGGGCCTACAGCCGTGAGCAGTTCAAACCTCGAGCCACCAGTGAGTTGAAGCCACCCACTTTGGCTGGGGACTCTCCTCTGGGGACAGGGTGGGGGGGTGTTTGGAGACTATATCAACTTGACAAGCTCAGGAGCACCCAGGAGGGAGGCTGCTGGGTCTGCACACCTGTCCCTTGCCAGACAGGCTGCAGCTTGATGCCCCCCTGGACATGCAACCGGAGAGAGCTTTATGCCTCAACTAGGCCATTTGGGGGCCCTACAGGAGATCTGGAAAAGGAGAAGCAAAGACTCCAAACTATCCTTGCCACTGGGAAGGACCCGGCAGAATGGAAAAGGAAGGCAGCCCCTGTGCGGCAGCAGGACCCAGCGCCTGAGCCAGACCGCTTTGAAGAACGTGAGCCACTAGGGCAGGGGCAGGACCACTCCTCCCCCACTACACCCCTTTCATAGAGCCCCCTGCCCTGACACCCCTTTTCCTCTCTCTAGTTGTGAAGGAAGTCCAGGAGAGGAAGGAATTCCTGGATGCCATGGAGGCCCTGGGGCAGGGCAAGAAGTACCAAGGAATCATCCTGGCTGAAATCTCCCAGGTAGGAGGAACCAGGAAAGCGGGGAGGGGCGGGCCCAGAACGCGGAGTCAGAGTGAGGAGAAACCCCAGCCGGCGCTGAGAGTCTCGGGAGTTGAGCCACAACTCATCCTGATGCTCCTCAAGTTCCTAACCCTGATACCAACTTCCCCTGCTGCCCTTTGCAGAAACTACGGGAAATGGAAGACATTGACCGCAGAAGGACTGAGGAACTTAGGGAGGCTCTTGCCACCACTTAGAGACGGCAGGGCAGCTCACACTGGACCGCCGCAGCCCACCCCTATGCCAACCAGTGTCATCCAAGCCAGCCACTCATGTCAGATGGCTGCCCAGCATGGCACTGTCATAGACTGCAGATGCTGCTCAGGGATGCTGGGGACCACTGGTGGGGTCTCAGAGCCACCCAATGACAGGGCTTCAAGTCTTCTGGGGAAAGAGTCCCAGACACAGCAACAGTGAAGGCCCAAGTCTCACCACCTTGGAAGTGCGTCTGAGGGCATCTGTGGCTCTCTTCCCACCACCTCCAACTCCTGTGTCCTGCTCAGTTAGTTTCTAGACTTGGGGATGAAGACGAGCCTTCCCTCCCGTCTGTCTTAGGATCTACTTATTTGATGACTTAAAGCCTTGGGCAAATATTTAACAACAGTGATTAATTGGCCAATAAAACACATTTAACGTGGGTCATTACACGTACCACCTTGTTGTCACAGGGATAATGCTTATTTGCACAGTTAGACTTTGTCCAACATGGACGGTTTCTAGTTGCCTGTTTTGCACATTTCAAGAGGAAATGGGACTCACACTCTTGAGTACCCTATGGCCAGTAGCCATGGCAGGTGAACTTCAGTTAATGATCTCAACAGACGGCGTGAGGCTTCATCATCCCTTGTGAAAAATAAGGTTCAAGGGCATTTTAACTAGTGAACAGCCTTCTCAGGATTAAAAGTTACTTTAGGTCTAAATACAGACCAGAGCAGCAGCACACAGGGGTGAGAGGGACCCACGCTGACAGTGCACCTGGCTTTGGGGTTCCAGCTGTAGCATGCACCATGTCTCCTTGTGCGCCCACGGCCTCAGCTCTGTTCCTGCATGTGGCTGGTCCTGGGCTGAAGGGTGGCTGAACAGTCACCTGACAGGAAAGCACACCCTGGCCTGGAAACACAGCATATTAGTCCCACACCTTGGGCTCCTGACACTCACAGGTCTCCTCCTCTAGTGTTCTGTCTTTTCCTAAACCCCCCACAAAAAAAAACCCTACCTGCTGTCCCCCACACCTGGAAGGAATCATAATCCTATCACGTCACACAACCCATGTTTTGTGTGCAGAATAAACATGGCTGTGCAGCAGCCAACCAAGAGCAGGCTCAGGAACCCTCATGGGAAGCCTGTGTCCACACCCACAAGAGCCCAGAGCAGAAGCTGCAGTAGGACAGTACCTCCACTCACAGGCCACCATCACATGACCCAGAGGCAGCAAAACAGAAGCAGGGCAAATTCAGGCCAGCCCAACAAGTTCAGACCGGGCGCTCACAAATCACACACATACGAAATCTGAATCCCCAGTTTCTTTTGAAAAATGGAAAAGATTTGGCAACCCTGGGTCCACGTACATTCCCACAGGCTACAGTGGACTACAGTGAGGGGCCCTAACGCTGGCAGAGTCCTCCCAGTCTACCTACACCCGACCCAGGTCAGGTGTGTTACCTGCCTGGTTCCTGAAAGGCCTTAAGGTGGTGACCTCAGCCCAAGGTCAACAGGCACATTCAGCAAGAGACTGCCAGAGGCTGCCCAGGTGTGGAGAGGAAGGGAATCCCGCCCAGGGGCAGGCAATGAAGGCCAAGGTCCCACTCAGTGGACAACCTCAGCATGGTCCCAGACCCTCCAAGGCAGGCAGAAATACCTGGCCATGGAAGTGGGGCAGAGGCAGACAAGAAGGCAAATGTGGCCATGGCCTGAGGCTGTCCCCATTGAATGTTGTTGAGGAATGTCCCCAAGTTAATACAGTGCGATCTTGTCCCCCAGGGGCATGGAGGAGGGGGCCTGGAGGCCCCCAGAGCTTATGACACAGTGTTTTGACCAAGAGCTGCCAGGCACATTCCCTGGGCAAAAGTGACATCACCATCACTTGTCCCCTCCCACAGGGGATGGGTGGCCATCAGTCCTCAAGTGGGAATGAGTCCGGGAGAGGACAGACAACAAAGGAGACAGACGGGTGATGACCACAGAGGGGAGCGGGCCCCAGGCCCTGGGTGGGGAGGAAGCCTCAATCAGGTTAGCACCTACCTGGAGCACCCTCCCTAGGCTGATGCACGGGACCAGAGCTCTGACTGGGTGGCCTCCAGAGGCCATGTCCAGGGGACTCGGCACTGGGGCAGCTAACAGGAGCACCCACCTGCCCCAGCATGGCCACCAGGGCACTGTGGCGTCTGGGAAGTAAGTCTTCCCACAGAACAGGGGAGGTGAGGGAGAATCTCCTAGAACTCGGAGGCAGAGGAGGTGGGATCTGCCCAGCACAGACCACTCAGTAACTCATTTGAACTTAACTGCAGACTTGATAAATAGAGCTCCTGAGCAAGGTGACATGAGATTCTGGGCACCTGCACTGGACAGAAAGACAGACTCAGGCTGGGCAGGAGGAGGCCAGCACAGCCCGTCCTGCTTCGGCCTGTTAGCGGGGCAGAGCTAGGCCAGCGCCTACAGAGAAGAGAGGGGAGGCCGAGGAGCTGCCCTGCCACGGCAGGGACCATGGAGCGAGTGGGTGGGTGTGCGTGGCCACTGCCCCTCCCTGGACTGGAGTCCCTGCTTGCCTTTGGGTCTGTCACAGCATCTGGCATCCTCAGATCTGACTGGGCGGGGCTGGGTCACAGCTGTCTGGAGTGCAGAGAAGAGGGAGGGAAACTCTGGCCCAGACAGACGGAGACCTCAGTGGGGGAGGCTCACCCAGAGACACCCTCCCCTTGAGTCACCTCCCCCTTGACTGATCCACGGCAGCAGGGGCTCCCTCCAGCCCGTGAGGATCCAGGAGGAGACAGTCCCAGCAGCTTCCCTCCCTGTCAGCTCTTGTCCCCAGGGGACTTGCTCTTTGTGTCACGCTTATTTCCCAGCAGCTTCAGCATCTTCATGGTCTTGAACTTCCCCTTTTTCTTGCCCTCGGGTTCAGCCTCCCTCTGGAACTCTGAGCAGAGAAAGGGAAAGATTTGACTCGAGGGAGTCCATCGGGGCAGGCTGGGGTGAGTGACTTGTGTCACTGACCAGGTGTGTGGCTAGCAGGACGGCCCCACACCAGCCTGTGTGAAACTGGGCAGTCACTTCACCATCCCAGGCCTCCCTTATTCCCTAGAGGTTAGGGATCCTCCTTGCCCGGTGTCTTGGCAAGGACCACAAGAACAATCTGGGTGCCCTGTCACTTCAGCTACATGGGCACACGATTCTGTGGGCTGCAACACAAGCACCAACACTCAGAGCGAGAGGAAACTCCGGAAATGACCTCTCCCAGCTCCGAGTTTTAGCCTCTGAGATGAGCCAATCCCAGCTGAGCTTTTGTGGGTGCCAGGTCCCAGGCTAAGGGCTCCCCACCTGCTCCCCCTGTGATCCTCAGCAGTGCCAGGGAGGCAGCGCTTGGTACCCCGTTCTGAGATTCAGAAAGGCTACGCGTCACCCAAAGCATCCATGTCAGAGCTTGGACTGCATCCAAGCAGCCTGACTCCAGCCCAAGTGGGGACAGTGAGCGGCTGGTGGAGCTAAGACCAAACCCAGACCAGCTTGCAGGCCCAGGATTCCTGCCGTTCCAGGCACTGTCTGATGCTGAGCGGGCGCCACCGTTTGGGCCCACACACCCCACACCACCAGCTTGCAGACCAGGAAGGAGACACCCAAGGGCAACCCATCCTGGGGCTGGAACTGTCCCCCACACACCAGCCCTCCGTGTGTGGCTTCTGGCTGTCGGCTGGCCTACCTTGCTCCAGTGGCCTCAATAGAGACTGAGTCTGCACACCGGCTCCTGCTGGACTGCACCTGCTCCACCCGCCCCTCTCCTTCCACCCCCAGGCTGAAAGCAGGAGTTGAAGAGGGAAGAGGCCCAGAACCAGAACTGTCCTCCCCTGGGGACAGGCTTCACCTTCCTCCTTTACTATTTGTCTCATTCTTGCAGCACTGGGATCAAATCCCGGGCCTGTGCATGCGAGGCAAGCAGCTCTACCACGGCTACACCCCACCCCTTTTAAGTTTTTAAAAAATGTTTGGTACCAGGGATTGAACCCAGAGGCGCTTAACCACTGAGCCACACCCACAGCCTTCTATTTTTTATTTTGAGACAGGGTCTCGCTAAGTTGCTTAGGGCCTTGTGAAGTTGCTAAGGCTGGCCTCAAACCTCCCAAGCACCTGGGATTACAGGTGTGCACCCCCATGCATGGCTTAATTTTATTTTGAGACGGGGTCTAAGTTGCCCAGGCTGGTCTTGAACTTGAGATCCTCCTGTTTCAGCTTCCCAAGGAGCTGAGGGTTACAAGTGTGCCCATCAGGCCCAGCCTCACCTTTCTTCTTGATCATGGCTTCCAACATCTTGTCTTCCTCTTCTTCTCTGAAATGAATAAAGGAAGCTGAGCACCCTCAGGAGGAAGGACCATGTCATGGTTTGGGTCTACAGTGTGTCCCCAAAGCCTTGAGCTGGAAGCACGGTCCCTGGCATCAAGGTTCAGGCTGGGCCTCTTAGGCAGTGACCGGGTCACAAAGGCTCTGACCTCACCATCATGGATTAATCCACGGATGCTGGGAGGCAGGAGGAAGTGGTTGGAGGAAGCAGGCCCTGGGGCGTAGGGCGAGGGGCAGGATTCATCCTCTTCCCAGCCTCTTGCCCTCCCTGCTCCCCGATGCCAGCCCTTCTGCCAGGATGTTCTGCCTCACCTGAGGCTGGGGCAGTGGAATCTGCTGAACTGAATTCTCTGAAGCCATGAACCAAAGTAAACCTTCCCTCCTCTAGATTGTTCTTGTCAGGTTTTTTGGTCACAGTGACAAAAAACTGACTATCCCGGTATCTCTTCAAGTCCTTTCCAGCCTCCGAGTCCCCCCAGGCTGAGCAAGAGTGTGCCTGGATCACTGGTGGTCAGGGCAGGGCTGGCCTGGCCCTGGGGTGTGGGCCTGTCTTGGGCTCTTCCAGGGAGTTGTTTGACCCATGGGGCCAAAGGTATAGCCCACTCTGGGCCCCTCCCCTAGCCGTGTCACCTCTGCCGGTCCTCGTCCAAGCAGTTGACAATGGCATTGCGCTG